CCCCCTGCCAGCAGCAGGGACACCTTCCACTAGACCAGGTTGCTCAAAGCCTCATCCAGCCTGGCCTTCAACACTTCCAGGGAGGAACAGCCACAACTTCCTTGGGCAACCTATGTCTCCAGGGATGGGACATCTCTCTGAGCAACTTGTTCCAGGGTTTCACCATCCTCATTGTAAAAAATTTCTCCTTCTATCCAGTCTAAATCCACCCTCTTCTAGTTGAAAACCACCACCCCTTGTCCTATCATCTAGTCTAAGAGGAGAAAGAGCATCTATCCCACACCAGGACCTCGATGAGAACGTTAAGCAGAGGGATGAGGAGAGGGGACAAAGCAGCAGCAGGGGGTTAATTAGTGAAATTCAGCTCCGATGGACAGAGTGAGATGCCATGACCAGCTCCCAAAGAGCAGCAGAGAGGTTAGTGAGGACAGCATCGTGGGTCAGAAGGTTGGCATCACCTCCAGATGCAGGAAGGGGCTGATGTTCATCCAACACACAATTCCCAGAATTGTTTGGATTGGAAAAGCCCTTTCAGATCATCAGGTCCAATCATGAACCCAACACTGACAAGTCCCCAGCTAAACCATGTCCCTCAGCAACAGCTCAGCTACAAACCTTACCTGGCCACAGCCAAGCTGCAGGCCATGGGACAGGGCTCAGATAAAGCTGTCTAGATACAGTGTACACAGAAGATTTCCTTCAAGATGAGACCAAATGTGGACACCAGGTGAGGGATTCAAAATTTGCCTTCACAGAGGAGGAAAACAGGGAGCCAGATTTCCCTACCTGCTCACTGAGGACAGGCTCTGAGCCCTCCCAGACTTCAGGTTCTTCTTGACCTGCATCTCCAAGTTCAGAGTCCCACCAAAAAGGGCAAGAATGAAAGTAAAACTGCTAAGAATACAACCCTCAACCAAGGGCAGTTGGGACTAATTTAGGAGACCAGCATTCTTCTCAGGCTGGACTATTATTGCATTAAATTGGCAATTGCTGGTGGTGGTTAAACCAAGCTCCTTGTGAGCTGAAGACTTCTGGTAACTCCATTTCAAGGCAAATATCTGGGTTCCCACCTGAGGTAGATGGTAAATCTGGGGTAGGCAGTCCCACCTCCCATGGTCCACGTGCTCACAGAAGTGGTTAGTGCTAGCAGGGAAAGGGAAGGTTGTCTGGGAGGTGAGTGTCTAAGAGGAAGGGAGAGGTGCAGAGCATCTCCAACATCACTTGGGTGCTCAGCACTTCTGGTAACCCACCTGCTTACCCAGAACCTTAATTTCAGGCTGCTCAGACATTGCACCATCAACATGAGCTGATCCTTCCTTGGGGTAGAGGAATAAACCCTTGAAGACCTATCTCCAGATTTTCTTTGTGACCCATAACACTTAAGAGCACATCAAGGTACCTAAGCATGGACTGAACCGAGAAGAACCTCAGTCTGTCCTCCTACAGTGACGTGTCTTCATTTCCAGCTTTAAAAGTGTTTAAATGGCATTTAAGTTGCATAACAGAGATGCAGAAGTCACCTGGACCATCTCCAAACCCCGAGGCAGGCTCAAACTCCACACATCCCACCCCAAAAAGGGATTTTTTTCCCTAACAGGCCACCAAAATCTTCACTGATGCAAACATCACGTGTTGCATTTCCTTCTCATCATTGGACTGAAGATCATTTCAATCCTCTGGCAAATCTGTCTGGGAAATGGGGAAAGCCTTGGAGAAAGATCTCCTCTCTGCCCTTCATCCTCCTCAAGTTCAACAGCAGCTTTGAAGGTCAGCAGTGCATTCTTGGTTCCTAACACTGCAACATCTTTATAGAATCATAGAATCACCTGGTTGGAAAAGACCTCTGAGATCATTGAGTCCAACCATACCTGTCCACTACTAAACAAGATCTTCAAGCACCCCATCTAGTTGTCTTTTAACCACCTCCAGGGATGGTGACTCAACCACCACCTTCATCTAGCACTAGCCATTTCCAAGTCCTTCTCAATCCCTGCTGCTCTCCTGGTGGTTTTGCAGTTGTTCTCTTGGGGCTCCACTGACCAAACAAACATTAAATGTTTCACCAGATGGGACAGAAATGAGCAGCAAGTCCTGGGGATGAGGTAGGAGCAGAGGAGGGTTCAGGGTGGAATTGGGGAACAAGCAATTCCCAGACACAGCTCTCAACTCAGACACAGCTGACTGGATGGAGAAGACATCCTTGAAAAGGTCTGTGGGGTCTTCTGGATGGTTTAAATGGGACAACTTAGGGGGAATCAGAGTGGAAGGGAGCTCTGGAGATCATCTAGTCCAACCCTGACTTTGATACAGAGTTGGAAGAGACATGAGTGAAAGTCAACAGAGATCAGTCAATGGCTGGAAACATCTCCCAGTTTGAGTGCAGAGCTGGGCCATGAAATCCCAGTACCAAAGACTACTCCCATTTCCACCAAGCTGAAATGCAGGAGAAGGAAACCTGGTGCCACTCAAGTTGTTCAGATACATCAGGAGCCTGAATGACACATGGATGAGCCTGATTCTCCTACAAGAGACCTCAGACTGGCATTGCTCTTTTGGATTCAACCTCATTGGGTTGGTCTGGATGGGGTTGTTGTGGGATAGGTGGGGCAAGCCAGGTCATGTCTGAAGGAGCTGGTCACTCTGAGAGTCTCTGTTGGGACTTTGCTTGGTTTCTGGGCAAAGGCAGAGGAACAGAGGAGAGTCAATGCTTGAGCATAAAAGGTACCCATTGGAGGAGGCCCTCGTAGAACAAGGCAGGGGTGTAGAGCTGAGGAGTGGCCCATCCAGAAATGGCAGTTGCAAGAAATGGAGAAGAAAGAGCAGAGAGATGGTTAGGTTTACACAAGCTCATCCATCTCAGCCCACATGGAGCACAAAGATGAGCCCCAAACCATCAGGAAAGGCTGCTTGGGTGGAAGAAACCCATCTTGGACAAATGTGTTTATCTCATCCAACCTTTTGGGGAAATCATAGAATCCCAGACTGGTTTGGGTTGGGAGGGACCTTCAAGCTCATCCAGTTCCAACCCCCCTGCCAGCAGCAGGGACACCTTCCACTAGACCAGGTTGCTCAAAGCCTCATCCAGCCTGGCCACAAACACTTCCAGGGAGGGGGCATCCACAATTTCTCTGAGCAACCTGTTCCAGTGTCTGACTGGAAATGTGGCCAGATTCTTTGCATGCCCCAGGTCCATCCTAGCTCATCTCCCAGACTTTGGGGTTAACTGACTCCTAGGGCCACCACAACACTCCACAACACACCCCTTGTTCAGCTCTCTACCTTGGGTTTTACAAGATACCAGTCTACCCTGCCTTGGTTCAGCCTATGATGTGCTCTGTAGGATGCACAAGGTCTGGGTAGCAACCTTGACAGGTTGTCCAAGCAGCATCTTTGGATCCTGAGGAGACTATTTCATTCAGAGCACCTGGAACAGTCCAGCACATGCTCCAATTCATGGTCAGTTCTCCATGAAAAGTTATAAACTTTCCAACTGGGATTTCAGTTGAGGTCCAGCCAAAAGCCGGCCCAGCATTTTGGTTCTTACATGCTTTGGTTGGAAGGGTTGAAGCACCAGTAGACCTCATGCACACACCTCTCACAAAGGTTAATTATTACTCCACATGCCCTGCCACCAGGAACACTTCTTGGGTTAGTTATGGAACCCATCTACCTTGTCCTGCTGGTGACCATTCATTTGACTAAAAACCCTGATGTTATGGACTTGACTAATCTGAAAAGAAGTGGTTGCCCAGTGGAGGCACCACTTTAACAACCTCTAAGATGGTTGAGACAACCTTTAAGATGAAGAGACAACTAAATCTTCTAGACTCACCTCATCCAGGCTGGAGGATAGCTCACTCTGTTTGGAGAAGAGAAGGAAAGAAGAAAGTGACATCAATTCTCATCCATAAGAACATTTCTCATCAATAAACCCATCCTACATCTTTTAATTGATAGAAAAAAAGATGCTCTCCAGGTTCCCACACCACCACCACCACCCTCAAGGTTTGAGAAGAAAAACTGAGAACCATTTAAAATCCAGCATCAGTTGATGTCTTTGCTCAGCCAGGTTGCAGGGTAGGGAACGTGGTGGAAGAGTTGAGAAGCAAAGCCCTTCATGATGGGAATGGTGAAATTATCCATCCAGGGCAGAAAAATGATGGTGTGTTTGAGACCTGAAGAATTCTATCTGGAAAGGGAGATCTTTGCCCTGGTTTATGGGTCAAAAGTGAGCAGCTCCACTCACTCCAGCTATCTTCACCATGAGTTGAAGGAAACTGGTATCTCCACATGGATATTCCATCCTCAAATAAGTCCCTAAGACAAGAGGGACCAAATTGCCCGCAGAAGCAGAGCTACAAATTCTCCTTTGTCCATTGCAAACCTCTGTAGGAGCAGCTGATGGTGGTAGGACCCAACAGTTCTACAGGGGAGGGGATGGTGAGAGGGACACAAGGGTGTAGGAGATGCAAAGAGGAGAAAGGCATTACCTCGAAGCCAGGGATGTGATGGACAGCTGGCTGTGGAGAAAAAAACACAGACTTTCCATTTGTAGTCCTGGTGCTATCTCAGCTTTATCTGGCAGAGGAACATTAGGTCCACCCATCACCACAAATGCTGTCCCCCTCCATGCCCAGAAACCCAAACCCTGGGCTCTACCTCCTAGAAGGAAGCACAAGCAGAACCTCAAATCCACCCAGCTGCTTTCTGCTAGGACCAAACAAGATCTTTGGAGTGGACCTCCTCTTTGTAAGGTCTTCTCCACCCAGTAACTTCTGAGGGGGGTGAGGAAGAAGATGCTGCATGGAAATTATTTGGTGCCCCATCCCAACAGCAGAGACATCCCCTGACAACCCTGGACTGGTGCAACAAGGCTTGTACCCAGCACATCCACCCCCAGCAGCATCTCCAGCTGGGACCTACGTGGGAAAGATGGAGGAGGTGGAGTTGTGGGACCCCCATTCTTGATTAGAACATCAGGGTTGGGTGGGAGGAACGGGATGGGGAGATTTAACCTTCCAGTCCATCCACTTTCCCTGGCGTAGAGGAACATCTGGGCTGCAGCCAAGTGCCATGGTCAGTAGAAAAGGCAGAGAGGAGAGAGGGTGGCGTGTGTGGGGGGACAGGGAGGGATGGGAGAACACTGGGTCATGATGAGGAGATTCTCCTGCCCAAGCTGGCTCTGGAGCACGTTCTCCTTCCCCCGTGGCTCGTTACATCAACAGCCAGCACTGAGCTGGCTGCAGGATTAACCCACTTCGACTCTCATAAACCCTCTCTAGAAATTAACTCTGACCACAGGGCACCACTCTGGAGCCAAATGCACCAAGGTCTTCTCCTGGTGTGAAGGTGTCAAGGTTCTGAGCTCGGCACCATGGTCAACCAGGTTGGCAAGACACAAGTTGCACCTCCCAAGCCAATACCCAGCAGCCCAGGATTTAGTCCAGCACCACAACTCTTCCCATTGGCTCTGCTAAACATCTCCCACCACATTGCTGTGGTGGGGCCAGCAATGAGCATCACAGCTGGGTCTGCTTGGAGCAGAAGTCCTGGTGAAACTGGGGACAAGCAGCTGTTGAGGGCAGGTGGACATAACTGATCACCGAGCAAAGGTTGGATGCTGTTGAGTGATGAGAGGCTCCAAGGGGAGGAGCCAGCACTGGAATTAAAGACAGGATAAGGTCTGGGTGAGGAGCTCACCTTCTCCCTCTGAATCAGCTCAAAGGCAGCCAGCAGCTCCCCAACGTTTCTGTTGGCCTTGATGACAGGATGCCAGGAGAGCCGCGGAGAACGCGCCAGGCTGGGCTTGCAAATGCAGCGCCCCATGAACTCATCTGCACCCTGCAAGGCAATCACAGGCATGAGGAGCTTCCTTCCCACCCCACCTCCCAGTGTCCCAGGTTGCCCAGAGAAGCTGTGGCTGCTCCTCCCTGGGAGTGTTCGTGGCCAGGTTGGATGAGGCTTTGAGCAACCTGGTCTAGTGGAAGGTGTCCCTGCTGCTGGCAGGGGGGTTGGGACTGGATGAGCTTGAAGGTCCCTTCCAACCCAAACCATTCTATGAGTCCTTCTAGTGGCCTCCCAGTACCTGAAGGGGCTCCAGGAAGGCTGGGGAGGGACTTTGGCCAAGGGCAGGGAGTGAGAGAACAAGGGGTGATGGCTTGAAAGTGGCAGAGGGGAGATGGGGATGAGATGTGAGGCAGAAATTGTTTGGTGTGAGGGTGGTGAGACAGTGTCCCAGGTTGGGCAGAGAAGCTGTGGCTGCTCCTCCCTGGAAGTGTTGAAGGCCAGGCTGGATGAGGCTTTGAGCAACCTGGTGTAGTGGAAGGTGTCCCTGCTGCTGGCAGGGGGGTTGGAACTGGATGAGCTTGAAGGTCTCTTCCAACCCAAACCAGTCCATGATTCTATGACTCCATCATCACATCTCAGTCAAGACCCTGACACTCAAACCTCAGGTTTAATGTCTGAACCATTATGAAACCAGTTCAGAAAAAGAGATGGTTTTGGTGTCCATATAGACTCAAGTTTTCCAGCTCCTCCCTGTGAGTACCAGGGCTTGGAGCACACTCTGTCTTTACTTTTGGCTTCCACAGGAGGTGAAATTCCTACAGTGTCACACAAATTCCAGAGCAGAAGCTCCGAGAACAACATCAAGTATCAGCAGCTCTTAAAAAGCCCATTCACTGGTCTGCAACAGGATCTTCAGGTGCTTTGACAGCTTCCTGCTGGTGTCTTTTGGAGGAGGATGGGCAGAAGGGTTCCTCAGAGGTTCCTGGGACCCTCCTGAGATGAATTCTAAGTGCTTTTCACTTATGCCCTGCTCCTACACACCACCTGAAACCTCTTCTACTCTTCTGATGTGCTACAGACCAGTTCTTCTAGGAACGTCTCAAGGTTTTCTCACCAACCCCTCAGATACCATCACTACAAAACACTTTGGGACACCTTTGGGCATCTGAGCAAACAACAGTGGATTGTCCTCTACTTGCATGGCTGCTTCAAATCCTGTCCCAAGCTTTTTCCACAAGGAAACAAGGTTAATTTGGCCACTCTGCAAAACCCAATGGAGATGCTGCTTAGATAACTAGAGCAGGGCCACCAAGGACATCACTAGCAGAGCTATTTGCTGAATTGTTGTCTTCTGAGTGTCCAGCTCAATGTATGAACCATGCAGAGATGTTACAGTAGGAGTGATGCCATGTGATTGTCCCACCTACCCCAACACACTCACACCATGAAGGTCCAGCTCGTGTCAACACACTTACATAGGTGTCATGGTCATATATCTCCACCACGATGTTGGGAGGGGAGTCAGACACATTCTGGGGGTCTCCAAAGATCTCTATCTCATAGAAGATGAGCGTCTGGTCCCAGGTGGGGTTCAGGGTGTTCTTGATCACCACTGTCTTCTGGCTTTGGTGGAGGAAGGAGACAATGGCATAAGGATCTGTAAGGGATGTTAGACAAGAGGCAAAGGATGAATTAGAGCTATTGGTCTAGGAAGGAGAAAGCAACTCATAGTCATTCATGGGCCAAGAGGTTGTGCAGGGAAGACTGTGAACAAGCTGAAGGAGCTGCTGCAGATCTTCTAGAAACAACAATGACATTCCCATCCTGTTCCAGGCAACCCCAACTGAGAAGAGAATGAGGCCAAGGTCTCCAACACTTATCCCTATACACCGGTTGTTCACAGCTCAGGTACTTCCCAAGGTAGGTGTGATGTCCCTATGTTTAGGGGTCCTCTTGAACCCACCATATCCTCCAGCAAGGACTCAAAACTGCATGAAGAACCATCTTCTCATGGTTTTTTGCAGTACCCATCTCCCTCTATCTCCATCTGAGGTTCCCCAGTTCTTGCATCAGGAGACAAGGAGCAGTCCACCCCTGCCCACCATAACTGACACTTGAGGTTCTGCAGGTTTCTATCACACCAACCCTAGAACATCTCTTCTTCAAGCCTATGGAGTTATTCCTCAGAAAAGACCAATCTCAACCCCTGTTCATTCCAACTCTTTTTGGGACAGGACAACCCCAACAGTCCACACAGCCTACCTGTCCATCTATGCAAAGACCTTTGTTCTTGTCCCACAGCAACCTCTTTTCCTTCAAAACCTTTGATGAAGGATTTTTTTTGTCAAAAACCTTTTGGACATCCAATGAGACCATGTTAACCAGAGCAACTTTACTTCTAGCTTGTGATAACTCCAGCTGGTGGAGACACCATGACCTTCTCTGACCACCTCTCCCAGCACTCCACTGCTGTAGCATTAGAAATTTCCTCATTGTCTGACCTGATCTGTCCTTGGTCCAGATTGTCTTCCTGACTCCTCACCCTGCCCACCAGCAGTGAGGTAGCACAAATGGGTCACTTTATGCCCCAAGGTGTGGACTATTATCCCAAGAGATGACTCTACAAGGATGAGTGTTTCAATGGTGATGACATAGTCATCTTCCACCACAGCAGAAGGCACAAACTCTTTCCACAACTCAAACAGTCTTTCCCAGGGAGACACAGGAGATACCAGCACTGCACATGTGGGTGAGCAGTGACTTCATGTCATCCCCTACTATGAAGACCAGACCATGAAGAAAGTGGCTGGGACATTACTGCTTCCTTCCTGGGGTTTTTAACATCTCCAGAAGGAACAGGAGTTGAGGATGCAGCCAGCAACCAGCCAGAGTCATCTTGGTTGCATGAGCTTTGGTAACCTCCATGTCTTGGAGAGGGTTTTGGGTTCCCAGCACTTCAGATTATCCCACCTGGTTTCCAGCTGCTATACCAGATGGTTCTGGGTGTCTCTTAGGGCTTCTACATCACATCTGCCAGCCCCATGAAGACACCTCAGATGCTCCAGGGTCTCATCAGACCCCTGTACATAGGCATTGAGCTGGGACCAAGGTGTCTCACCTCTAACTCGGGACAAAGCCAGAGGCTTCTCACTGCAAGGCAGCTCCAAACAGCAGATAGCCACCTCCCTTAACAACCAAAGCAATTAACACAGGAAGCCTGAGATCAATTAACGAGAGAAACATGAAACCTGAGGCCCCTCTAACACCTTCTGTTGGAGAGAACTTCAAAGAACATGTGGCTCAAACCTGCTGGGGACATCCAGCCTGTGCTGGTGGTGGCGCTGGGCATGGGGACAGGATGGGCAGTGGCAGGAGAAGGATCAAGGGCTGGGTGAGAAGCTTGAAACATGCTATGGGATCACATAGACCTTGTAGAGACTGAAACCCTTCATAACCTGATCACACCTCCTGGTCCTTGTCAGACATGAGACCTCCATGATTGCTGTATCTCACCTGACCAGTCCCAGGTGGACCCCTAAGCTCTGGTTACCTGCAAAACCCAAACTCCACATCATGGGTCTTTTTGGAAGGACACAGGCCACCACCTCCACCAGGCA